GCTCTTCTCTTTGCTCCTGTCTCACCATCTCCCCTTACTGCTCCTGTTCCCATCCCCTGCGCCCCATTTTCTCTCAATCCCGCTACCTTCTGCTGCAGACCGGCCCCAGTGTCTGTTCTAACCACTACATCCATCGATGGTTTCACCTGAGCACTAACAAAATGGAAAAATTGGCTCAAATCTAACATTTCTTCCATATATCTATTTATCTATCTGACATCTTGCACACAAATCAGCTGTGCAACACAGCCGACCACCTTTTGATTATGCAGAATCCGGTGAGTCCTCGTGCCGTAAGTTTTGACGTGGCCAACCAGATCCATTTCTCCCCTCCCTCACACCAGGGATCTCAAACAGCAGAATTTGGCTCTGTGATAGATTCAGATAATGGTAAAAAAAAAAGAAAAGAAAAAAAAGAAGTTGCCATTTGAAGGCAACCCGGTTTTGCTGTGGCACAAGTTTTATCTCCTTTTTCATCCATACCCTGCCCAGAATCAGATCCAGCACTTTGAGTCCGAGTGAAATTCCCCTCCTTTGGCCTGGATCTAGGATAAAAGTTAACCTGACCTGAGTGAAACACAAAAACCTATTTGAAATAGTGACCAAATGAGGATGTTCGCCTTCACAGAACGTCTGGGCAGGCAAAATGCTTTACGTCCACCACTCTTAATGGTATATTTCACCTGATGAAGCTCAGCACCACTCAAGAGGGACTCACTTCACCCCAGGATCAGACTTTTCAGCTTTAATCCTCCATATATTGGTCTAACACAGAAGTAAAGGCTGCTTTCCTACACATAATCGCAGTACGATTGATCATCTTGATCACCAAATGCAAGCATAGATGGTGTTCAGAGGTTTTCCTTCTGTACCAGTTCATTGTAAAATCAAAATATAGACCTTGTTCTCTCCCCGCTGTATTTCTTTACGTCTCCAGTCTCCTCCGTCTTCTGGTTTACACGGCAAGCAGACTCAAGCTCACTGCGCAGATCTGCACACAGAAATGCCCTATTTGAATTTCCATCTGTCAATAACATTAAAGCAGAACCACCGTGGCAATTACAAGTGTACACAATAATCTTGTCGTCCAGTGTCTTTAGCACATCCCAGAATGCATTAAGATAGTGCCAGGAGAGATTCGGCTCTGTTGGCTCAGCTGTAAATCTGCAATCTGTACAAAAACGCCCAAGTGTCAATCAAAAGACGTTCCTGCTCTCTGCGTGGTTCACAATGCATAATTTAGCTACTACGCTTGTCAGGTTCTCCACGTTGCTCTTCTACCCGATGGTAAATGTGTTCATGAACCCAACTGTCATCAACAAAGGAAAACAGCACATGGAAATAACAGGCTAAAGGAGGCAAGAGACCTCTTTTCCTTTCACAGTTAAAGGAACTGCTAGTAAGGGAAAGTTTAGTTAGACTTCAATTTTTAATGCCTAATGGGTAAAACATCCCAAAGGATGGAGGATGTTGAAAAACAACCGCATCGGCTCTGTGCTGAGTAGGAGGACAGTGCTTGGGTAAGACATCGGAGGGGATAAAGACTGTCCCTGTTTCCATGCAGGCTAATATAAAGGGGAAATTTTAACTAACTGATGGAAAGTCTGCGTCACATCCCACCCCTATAGTGCAGAAAACAAATCCTACTCTACCACCACAGCCCTGCCACTGTCAATGAACTTTGAAGCAGGTTGTTCTTCCTCATCTGACTTACAATTGCTGAGGGGCCTTGTCAGAAAGGATGAAAATTTCACACTCAGCTACATCAGGCAGTAGCTACCCACTGCTCTACACCACAGTTAATATGCAATAAAAAAGAAATCTCTGTCCCAGGACGTGACTTTAGAGCTGATCAGTGCCAAAGCTACAGACCATAAGGACAGCTTCACACTTGCCTCAGCTAGTTCATGAATAAACATCCAATTCATTCAAATGAGTTCTATATTAACTAATTTAAATAATTTTCATTTTGCTTTGAATGGTAAACAGATCTATTCTGCCAGGATAGTTGAGTTTGCAATTCAAATTACACACCGATTTGTAATGAGAAAAATATAATTAATGGCAAAGCTTGAAGTAACTACAATTTTACTCCTTTGATTTCCTGCAAGGAAGGAGGGGGTGGAGGGTGAAGCTCACAGGCACGCACGCACTCACACCGTCCTTTCATAAGCCAATACATTTTATTGCAAACTCAACTATTTGGCCCTCAGTCCTATTCTAGTGCATTATGATTCTATAATGTCATGGGAGGACGTAACATGACTTGACATTATACTCGCAGGCCCCATGATGCAATACTAACATCACCCAATAAATAATCATGTAACAGTCTGTAAATTAAATGACTTCCTTCTATTGGGATCATAAACAATAATTATTTGGCAGCTGCCCCTTAAAAAGCTCTGTGTGTGCTGAACATTAAATCAAGCTCTATTGATTTGCTAAACTGAACCGTCCCGTTTTTTCGCATCTCTCTCCCATCTAAGGAAATTCTTCGTCCTATCACTCTGTACCATTGTCTGGCATCGCATTTATAAGATGAGTGCCGATCAGTCCGATCTGATTCGTAAGCAGAAACAGAACACTGTCCCAGTGCTGGTATTTTGCCCATTAAACAAGTCCTTCTTGGCAGATCTGCTTTTTAACCAAAGCCTTCAGCTCCTGATTAAAATCAAACCCTAATGACAGATAACTGGCCCTGGCCACGCTGTTTGCGTGGTCTTGCCAACAGATATCCTCACTGTAATCAAGATGTGCAGAATCAGGCCCTTCGAAAATGGGGCCATGCAATTTGAAGCTGGCTTTCGTTTCTTCCAAAGGTTTGACAACAAAATAGCGTGCAAAGCTACAAAGGTAAAAAACCTCCACAGAGTTCACAGAGAACATCACTTTCTCTGTAACCAATGCAAAGTCTGATCCTGCAGGCTTCACCAGATAAAACTCTGAGCACTCCAATGAAGTTTGGCTCGTTAAGATACATTCACTGATCAGCCAAGCAATTAAGCATAGGACAAACTCCAGACATCCGCGTACAGTAAGTCTAGTACTCACAAGCTACCTTTAAGAGCTGGTCAGAGCTCAGTTCTCTACAGCGGATGAGGGGCACTCTTGAAAATCCAGCCTCCTCCTTGTGGTGTCCCAAACGGGAGCTACGATCTTTGAAAGCCACCTTTGACTGCAGGCTGAACCCTGCGGGCAAACACCCAGAGGAGCGCTGCGATTTATGAGCACATTTAGGACCTCTCCCTTTTCCAAGTGAGAGAAGTCCTGAAGGCTCAAATCCTCCCGGGCATTTTAGATGCCTCATTCCAAAATACGACTCAAGCTCTTATATGCTGAAATCTCTTTTGAAATTACAACCTGTGCATTTGATTTATTCTTTCTGAAAACTATACTAAGACATATTCAATAGAGTTTATTCACTGAGAATGGGAGGGGGAAAAAAACAAACCAAAACAGGGCAGTTGCCCAAATTTAAGACCCTGGCATACAGTTCATCACCCAGCCAGAGGAGAAAGGAGGTATGATGCACTGCACGTTTGCAGTCATTCAAGCAAGACAATTCACACAGAGTAACCACAACCCAAAGAGCAGATTCCAACATTTCCATGAAAAGCAGTTGCCTCTGGTTATAAAACAATCGTTATTTTCTATTAAGGCAGTCGATAAGATCTCTTACCCCTTGACCCTGGCATTTTGAGATTTAGTTTACGGCACTGTACACCTTTCTGGTAACATTAATTATAATCCACGTACTAAAAGGTAGTTTAAGAGACCAATAAAATAAAATACCTAACCCCTCTCACATCAGCTTCATTTACGAGTGCTAAACCAACAGATTTCTCAACCATATTTGTATTCAAGAATTATTTTTTTTTTTTTTTAGGCAATCAATCCTCTGTTTATTCAAAAGACACAGACCAGAACAAAAATATAAGTTTAGCTCAGAGTTTGGCATACACAAGGCAAGAATGTCAGCTCTGATTCAAAGACTGTGCCTACAGCTCACAGTGGGAGGTCAGGCAACACCTACACCAGGAAAATCACACATGGCACACAAATGGCACATAGACTTTTTTCGATGGTCACGTGCAACAGAAAGTAAAAGAGTAACTTCGGCAGCAGAATCTTTAAATGAGATTTTTCTTAAACGCATGTGCAAGGTGGAGGCTAAATATTCATCTCTTCTTCCCTTGATCCCGAATAAATGGGATATATGGCGGGAATACGCATGAGTAACAGTGACAAGAATGCCTCTGCTTGGAGCTACATAGTGGTAAGGATACACAGCTGTTCCATTGCCGTACACAGCCAAAAAACCACCATTTTTTCTTACACACTGGGTATCAAATTGTATTATTAACAAACTGTTCCACACGGGCCATTCAGTAATCTAGAGCTCTTGCATTCAGCTTTTGTGCACCTAAGAGCTGATAATCAGGACATGTTCTAACCTACGATGACCAAATTTTGCTACCTTTAATCGTGTGTCTCTACCATGGGTATTAAAAGCTGCAAGAATCTGGCAATGGAAGGTTTTAAACTTTCAGGGCAAAACCAGAGTGCACAGCCAACTTCTGGTTTTGGTTACGCCCAAACTGACCTTGCTTATTTTAGTTTATTCTCACTCTGAATTTCACCCTTCCTTCCTACAAGAACAGGACAATTTTCTCCCCTAACTGAAAATCACAGCTTTACAATTCAGCAGTAAGTTTCCTTTTTAAGACAGTTTCCTATAGAAGCGCCTTCTGTTGTTACCAACCTGGGCAAAAACGCCTTTGCTAGAGGCTGACTGGCAAACTGAATTACCCCTTGACCTGTGTGGACCTGACTGCATCACCCAAAACCAGTTGAGGATCTGGAGTACCCATTCCAGATCGACTGGAAGTCTGGAGATTAACCACCAGCCCAATACATGGGCTGTATGTTAGGAAGTCTGGAGATTAACCACCAGCCCAATACTAGAGCATGACCCTAACAAGACACACAGAACTCACCATCTGGAGGCATCAGGACCTTGTTATTCTGTGTACACCAGCCAACGGGGTGAAGATCTGCTGTCATCACATCACACCAGAAATCCGCCCTGCGGTCATCTCCATAGCCACAGTAACGAAGCAGTAAGAGCTGTCCACATGTTGTAATGATTGTAGCCACCCAATACGTGTCCGGATTGCTCTTGTTGGCCACTTCTAATTTCATTCCTGGTTGGAAACTGCTTTGAAGGCTGATTTCAACCTTACAAAATGAGAAAGGCATGGTGTTACCTTTTCTTCTTTGCAGGAAGACCCCCTCCCCAGGTAAGCAAGATAATGCTGCCCTTAAAGAGCAGCTCTGAGATAGGACATGAGTTGATTGTGTTCCTTAATCCAGCCACCTCCTTCACAATCTGTCTGGGCAGGACCATTCCTACTTCACTGGCATATACCCCATCATGCAAGGTCCCACATGCTCCAAAGAGGCCCTCCAGCAGTGGTAACCTCAGGTGCACTACACGTAAGAGAGGACTGGTACCCATCCTCACATCATAAATCTCACTAATGCCTGGGAGAAAGGCAGTATAACTCAAATGAGGTTGCATTTCCCGCTGCACAGGAACAGGACACATGCAAGGTAGAAAGGCAGGTACTAAGCACCTCTAGGAGTTAAGCCCAGCTATAATAATTAGTCATATAACAACACTGAAGCACCTCTTGAGGCTTCACAAGCACCAAGGGCTGAATGCTGTACCAGGCAGACCAAGGAAAGCATTTCCACTAAATCCATCCCCAGCAGCTCAAGCCTCAACTGATTCGCTCTCCCAGCACCCTAGTGAATAAGGTATGACCCATTGCTGAAAGAAGCAAATGGTTTGGGTCACTGTCCTGTCATCTGACAGAGATGTCACTTCCATTTATCTCACCAGGGACAGGTCACATGTAACTTGCCTTAGGACACTGGAGATGCCAGTGCATCTCTTCTAGGACACTGCAGGGACTGCTGTTAAACACTAGGGCCTTCCGTGGGCACATCGTAACGTATCTTCCAAGGGACAGTGGGGTGTCTCTAGCTGCTGTTGATAAAGAACAGGTGAATGCTGGTTCACTGGTTCAGGTGCCAGCTTTCTCTTCAGAAAACCATCCAAAACATAGCCTGTTACTCCCTATGAGATGCTTAAAGACAGGTTCTTACAGGTTTCTTAGTACCTTATCTCCTACTGAAACAAGAGAGATTATAAAGTCTGGTTTAAGCCTGTCTCTGATTAACTTCTCATTTAAATGACAGGTTAAAATGCCTCTTTTACTCACAAAGGTAAATATAGTACGGTCTGCTTGGCCACCTGAGGACTTCTCAGACTTGGCGTGCCAAATTGCAGAGAAAACACTGAGCTGCTCTGGGATGTCAGTAGTACTCCCTCACTCATCCCACTCCAGCTTATGACATGAGGGCTGCCCAGCCAAAGCCATTTACTATTTGCAGGTTACAACACTCCACGTGCCTTTACTTGTGCCGGCACTTCCATCATCATCAACGCCTGGAGTCACAGAATAGTTGAGGTTGGAAGGAACCTCTGGAGATCATCTAAGATTGAAGAAGGTCTGTGACATTACTACTGTACTTAGTCGTAAGACAGGATCTTAGCTCTTCTGATACTAAGGGTCCTCATTAATAATGCAGGATACAAGTTCATATGTATTTTTTCTCCTTGTGCTCACTGTAAGTAAAGACCAAAGTGGTATTCTGGAGGCAAGGGACTTGGGACTGGAAATCACAAAAAGAGGGGAATCAAACAGACAGATAGTATAATCTTCTCTGACAGCTTTCAAGTTCCTAGCCAACCCAATTTTTTTTGAGGATCAAGTTCCAGATTGTGAAGCAGAGTCACTAAGCACTTTTCCCAGCACTAACTTGCCTCGCATCGACAGTCCCAGGATTGAGGTGCTGTGAGACACCGCAATCAGCAGGATGAGGCGGGCATCTCCACACACTTAAAGCCATCCTTAAGGGCTTCATAAAGCACAAAACTTTCACCTGGATCTGGTATTTGGGTCAGGGCCCAGAGCAGAACCCTGGAACAAAATGCTCTCTCCAGACCGCTGCTGGACTGAGGATACACCCTACAATAAAACTTCATCATTGCCCTGTAATTCTCCAGTATAGAGAATTATGGTCCTTCGTCCTGCAATACTCTACTGTTGTTAAAATGGAAGCAAAATAGGGGGTGGAGGATTGTACTATTTTTTTCAGATGTAGATGGAAGAGAGGCTTTTCATCACTGCATCTCCTTACCCCTTCAAAACAAGCCAAGAAACCACCTGGAGACAAAGGTGGTTTAATGGTGTGAATGCAGTCATCCAAACAGAGACTTCTCTTAAAGTAGCAACAGGTTCTTCAGGAAGTTTTCTCACTGCAGTACAACTACACCATTCCCAAAGAACATCTCTGCCACCAAACAGACTCAGTGTAAAGCAGCCCAAAGCATCACAGCTAAAACCCCTCTCTTCATGCTGAAGATATCCACATCCTCCAGAGCACGCAGACCAACCAAGTGAAACTGGGAGAAGAGAAGCCGACCAACGAGCAACTGTAGCAGAACGGGCTACGGTTCTGATGGGTCAGGTGGGAGGATGAGCAGCACCATCCTCAGGGGACTTGCAGCTGAGGACAGAGAACCACCATGATTTGTCATGGCTTGACTCAGATGAAGGCATCACAACACCTTCCCACTAAGCCCCAACATCTTTGACAGCACAGTCTTGTGGTTGAATGACAAAGGTGTCCCGGAAAAATGCACCCATGTGGCCACACGTGCATGCCCTTGACTGTGATGAAGAACTCGTACATCAGCTTAATTTCTGTCCCATATCCTCATGTGACATCACACACATGGAGCTAAATAGATAGAATAGGTTAAAAAACTGGTGGTAGATGGAGAAGCTGGTCCCAGACAACAATATCGTTGACTGTGATGGGCTCTGCTTGGAGACCAAGTTCTTTTTTCAAAGCATGCTCTGGTCTTCTTCATCAGTCAAGGTATCAGAGACTTCAAATGCTATTTGCACTAACACAGACCAGAGCCACAGACCATGCTGTAACTACCATGGCTGTCTATATGAGCCATGTTCACCCAGGAAAAGCATGACGTACCCAACTACTTGGTTCTCATGCTGCTGAGACAGCATCTCCAGGCAGGAGGCTGAGAGATGGTTTCCTATGGGCCATGCTGGGCTCTAGTACTGAGTGACCTTGCTAGTCAGTAAACCATGTGTTAAGAGGACAGTTTTGGAGAAATAAGGCACTCTTGTGAGATGAATCTCTATGGGTTGGGATGGACCGCAATGAATAAATAGGGAGAAGGAAAAATGGATTAAGAGAACAAAATAAGTGCATTATAAGTAAAAGTAGAGCACTATAAGTCCTCAAAAATGGAAAATTTGAACCCAAGGCAGAAGATAAGGCAGTGGCATAGACATAGCGCTCTGAGATATGATTGCAGATGATGCAAACACACCAAGTTCAACTAACGCCAGCTGGGGGGCCATTTCTATGCACGTTGCTGCATGCACAGAGGGACGATTTCTCCCCAGAATGGTCAGACCCCACTTCAGTTCTCCAGAGACCCCTGAAAACCAGAAGAGGGAACGCACGCAATGCCAGCAAAGCTCAGACGAAGCACGTACGTGTTTGAAGGAGGTGTGGGGAGCAGCGCTGGCTCCTGTTTCCTCCAGGAACTCGTCCCAGTTGAAGTCTGCGTCCTCAATGCTGGAGCCCTCATCTGTCCAAAAGAAAAAAAAACAAAACACAAAACAAAGAAAAGCAGCTTAAAACACAGCCAAAGAAGGCAAAAGTTGTGTCAAAGACTTCAGGGCGAGAATAGCAACCAGTATAAACATCAACACAAGGGAAAACAAAAAGCTTGTTTTAAAAAATCTGTGCTTATCTAGTTTGACCGACTCTTACTACACTTTCAGCAGACTTTGGGACTTTAGCAGCCAGCACTTTGAAACCAGCAATGACTCTGCTTTCACGGCAGTGGGGGAACAAACCCGTTATACCGCAACAGGCACTTGTGCTCTTTTATTTTGTATTTGATGACTCTCTCGCTGCAAGGGAGGTGGATGCCTGTCCGCTATTACAAGGGTGCAATGGCCTTGTTTGTGCCCCAAAATTGGGTCACCCAGCATTGTTAATTACAGCAGTGCCCTGGTGATAATATTAGAAGTTGCTTCTGTTGGCTGAGCATTGCATAGAGCAAATACCCCAACCCTTGGGGCTGGTGAGCCCCAGGTTCGGTCCTGCCACCCTTTCTCAGCATCCCCTCACCCAGAAATCTCAGCCAAGGCCCCCATGCCTCCCTCTTCCCCCAAGACTACAGCTGCTTTCCCCCAAATCCCCCAGCCCCCCTCACCAGACCACTATTGCCTTCTTGCTCCCTGCACTTGTCCTTGCCCCATTTCAGATTTGGGGCTCTGCGCCATGCCTCCCCCATCCGCACCATTGCCCCAGATGATCCTTCCCCACAGTGAAGGACTTGACATTACTACTCTCTTTTTTTTTTTTTTTAATAACTGCGCTGAGTAGAGCAAAGTTGAGGCCTCAAACCATCGCTGAAACACACACAGCAATAATTAAAAATAAATCTTCTTTCACTTACAGAAAATCAGCCAAATCTGATTGTTTTCATTCTGTTCCCAAGCAATCTCGCAAACCCAGTTTCATCCCCAGAGCAAAAATATTTACAGTCTAGCAATGAGCTCTTTGCAATAAGCATTTATCAGGCAAACTCTGCGAGACCCTTACCTGCCCAAACATTCATCAGTGTGGTCATGATGTAATTAAAGTGACTCATGACAAACTGAATTAAGAAACCTCCCCAGACAGTTTTATGAAGAAAACGGCAGAGTTAATTTATTGCAATTATTGCTACAGGTCTCCAGTTTTCAGGACCAGAAAATTATGTTGTGCAATGGGAATCTCTCATTATTAAAAGGGGAAGACACAGGTTTTATTTGCTGCCTACGGAGCCAGACATACATAGGTGAGGGGAAAAAAGTGAATCAGGAGAGGGTTTTTGAGACAGAGCTGGTGGAGGGTAAAGATCTGCCTGGGAGTTCAAAGTGGAGCGCTGAGCTGTCATCGCTGTTAAACACTTTGCACACTGCTGCATCAAGTCTAAGGTCTGACTCCTTGCCTTAAACTCAATTAACCTGTTTAAATATGAAGATGTAAATCAACATTTACTCCCATGATAAAGTGGCTACCAGGTGACTTTTCAACTCAGCAAGACAAGAAATAACCCAACTCCAAGATTACAACCTGAAAATAGACAAATTCAATGTAGAATAAGGGATGGGCCTTGTTTTGTTTCTTGCAATCATTGCAAAAACCTCCAGGCATCTATTTGAGATATTTGACCCAAAATGAGGGGTTTGTTCATTCTTGACCGAAAGATAAGCCACAGCTTAACCACAAGGTAGGAGCTTGGTGCAAAGATTGCTAAGAGTTTCCTTCATCTATACCATGCAGGCAGGCAACTTAGATGATCAGGTAAATTTTTCAGCCTTCATGTCTGCAACCCTGTGGAGCTAACGTTTTAGAGAAGGGCCAGGTCCAGAGATTTCAAAGGATGTAGTCCACGAGTAGATGGGCAGATATGGTTATCCATCCCAGGCTTAAAATTACTCCGATGCTTAAGCAACTTTCTACCCTGAGTACAACCAATCCCCATCCCACTAAAAGTCAGCAACATCTGACGTGAAAAGCAAAAGGTGAAAAGCTAAAAGTGCATCCCCTCTGCCTGGTTGCTCCCTGCTTCTGCATCCAGCTGCGCCTGTGGTGTTGGGATGGGCTGCTCAACAACCCCAAGGACATCTTCACCTCAGGACATCTGACATGGACAGGACATTTCCAGGTCAGCCCTGGGCTCTCCTCTCTTCTGCTCAGATACTGCTACTTCAGAGCATGAGGCACTTCCCTCAGCCCACAATGCTCTCTGTATATTCTCAGCTTTTATTACTGCTTTTTGCTCTAACCTGCTGGGTGAGTCCAGACAGGTATCTCCTTTTCTCCAGCCTTCCTCGGTAGTCTTATGGGAAGGAGTCATTCCACAGAGCAGTGGAAGCAGGGATTTTTAGGCACTTCAGTATATAACCTCCAGCCCTTGCAGGAAGCAATATTTCCAGGGTGACAAAATCTTCTCCAGAATTTGCCAACAGCACGTTAATTATGTCAGCATTACAGATGCCAGTGATGGATGCAACAAGTCCTCCTGTATACTTCATAATCGTATTACCCGTGACCTACTCTGCCACGTGCCAACACAGAGAGAACTCACTGGCCCCAACGTTCCCACAGCCCCACCGGCAGGTTCATTCACATGCAGGCCAGCAAAACTCACAACAGCACCTGTTTAAAAAAAAAAAAAAATCACCCAGATCACTCCTTTCTAAACCCAAATAGAGAGGTTTTAAGACCCCAGGGGGAAGCAGCACGAGAGCTGCAGCCTTCCCTCCCTGTCAATTCATTTCTCTCTGACACATCACAAGTCTGACTCCTCTACTGTGTTTTATCTGCAGACTTTATCAGGAAATTACTTTTACAAGGTCTGTAAAAATAATGTCAGAGTACTCATTTATCATGGTATCAGTGTTTTATTTTGCTTTGTTTTATCACAAAGGATTTTGAAGTGACTGTAAGTTTCCAAAATGTTTTTTATGGACTTTGTTCCCTTCTAGAAATCTGGCAGGGGGGCATCCGGAGCAGAGACAGCGTGGCCCAGGGATGAGACCAGCCCAAGGGACCCAACCCCATCCGTACACGTAACGGGGCTGTACACAAATCTCCTCATCCATCAGAAAAGCCCTACTGCTGAGGAGAAGAGGACACCTCTTCCCGATCTCCCTCAATTGCCTGGAGATCCCCCGCTTAAAATGCAGATAAAGAAATGCAAAGTCTCTCTTAATATATGACAAGGAAGATTCTGCCCACTTGAGAAGCGGTTATCACAAAGCCGATCTGTTCATCGCTCCTCAAGTCACGCGCTCCAAGAACAAAGTCCTGACTCTGCTGGAGAGCTGCAAAACCCCAGGTGCCAGCATTTCACAGAGCGCCCCGTGAGATGACAAATTTGGCATTAGGCCTATTTTACATATCAGCTCCCTTTCCAATTATTGGTACTTAGGCCCAGTGCTCTTTCTTAATGAAAGAGTCAAGGCTGGCTAGCCTACAATACAGTGATGTGTAAACAAGCCCAGGATGGCAAATAAAATCAACAAGTCATTATCTGTGAGCCTCTCAATGGCTTTAAAGTGCTCATGCATTGACACTATAAAAATGCAACTGTTCCAGTTGTTAACAGCCTCCCGGGATGTTTGGCTATGGGAAATAAAGGAGATAAAAGACCCAAAACCTGTGGCTCCAGACACACAGATTTTTCCCAGGCTTCACTGAAGGAGAACGTATTTGTGGCAAATTGCTTAGCCATCTTATTTATAGCACATAGATACATTCATGACTTTTTGAGTGAATGGAGAGCTGAAATGCCTTAGCAGTTAACAGACCAAGCGAGGCGGGAGGTGGGGGGAGGAACCTGATCAATCACAAACGTCCGGCATGGCCTTGGGAGAGTCACCAAGATCCATATCCCCAAAGAAATTTAGGCACCACAGGCCAGTTCTTCTCATTCCAAAACCAATGTCTATGGTTGGCCAACTGAATCTCATCCTAGAGGCTCCTACCTCTCTCCCATGTATATAAATGGATCCAGTGGTGACTAGATCAGGCTGCAGGTGTCCACTCTGGAAATGTCTGACTGAGAGGACATGAATCCCACCTCGAGAGGGGGTCTGCATCACGTGAGCAACAAGGATTGAGATGATCCCCTCTGCTCCAGCCAGGGTTAGCTTTCTTCATCCTCAGTGGGGAGAAACAGGCAGCTCCAGATGGCAACTCAACCCAAAGGCAAGCCAGCATCTGTGTTAAAATGGACTTGCTTTCTGGAGCTGTCTCTTTCTCTTCACTGGTGATACAGGCAGCATCAGATGACTAGGTTTTGTAAGGTGTTCTAAGATACCTCAGCTCCAGATTCAGATGTTTAACTCTAGAGGACCCTCAGTAGTCATCTCTGAGTCACACTATATAAGGGAGGCTCTTTCTCTTTCATGTCTATGGGAGAACCCAGGGCAATATTTATGTTCTTACCTAAGGTAACATAAGAATGTCCCGCTTCCTTTAGGTGGGATGAATCCAGGTTTCTCATCACAACCCCTCCATACCTATACATCCTTCCCTTCACAGAGCCAGTGCACTTTCCTGTATGCTTTGCCTCCTCCTGGATGCCTGGAGACATCCATTAGATGAGGGCAACCATGTGTAAGTTGGTAACTTACCTGTAACCCAGGTAAGTTCCTATCATGCAACTATTTCTGGTTCAGGCGTTTCCTTGAGACAAAGACGGTTTCTATGTAACTATGCAGCAGTTAGTACGCTGCATCTTTCTTCCATAAGCATGTCCAACTTCCCTTTGAAGCCATCTGAAACAACCAGAACCACTGCGTATACCATGCAAAAAACCCAAAACTTTGGCTGGACTAACAACCCCACAGCACAGGAGAGTTTCCACCTCTCTGTGTCCCACCTAACACGCAGAGCTTAAGAGCCCAGTTGAACCTGTAAGCATCATGGCAAGACCAACTGGACTACCCCACATCTCAAACACATTTTCAGTGCAACACAGACAGTCTGCATTTTTTTTAGGACATCCCTCTTTTTCCCCTACCCCTGCTGACCTCTTGAAAGCCCACCTGCATTTCCATCTCAATGGCACAAGCATAACGCAGTTGCTTGCTACGAGCTGCCCAGGCGGGCACTTGCAACCTGCAGGCCAAATGTGCCACCCTTGTTTATTATTTTCATGGCAAAAGTTGTAGAAGATGGTTGCATTGCACAGGGGGCTGTGCAAACCAGCGCATCCTCACCCTAAAAAGCTTACGAAGTCACCTCAAGGACCACAGCTCATAGTTTAACTGGCATGGTCTTACATTGCTGTGAGTCTTCCCCCCCCCCAACTCATTAGTGACCGTGGCAAAGATTCAAAGGCCGGTCACAGCTTTCCAATGGGTGGTGTCCAGGGAAATAGGAAAATCACTGAGTCACTATGAGAAGTGAAGAAACCAAAGGCTGGGTGGCCAGATTTCTGAGGTGCTGAGGGAGAAACAGTGAAAAGCGGACCAAAGACACAGCTTTGCAAAGGACTTCAGCACAGCACTGACCAATAAAGCACAAACAGCACCACTGGAGAGAAATGCAGAGTTTTTAAGCAGTCACCCCAACACTGCTACTGTTGCATTCGAGTAGTGCTGAATCAACGATTCATCACTGGTGAGGGCACCTATTTCCATGGAAGTAGACTTTAGGCAGCCCTTTAGGAAGCCCACTTGCAAGCATAGACTTATCTGCCATTTGCACCTCAGGATCCTTTTGTCAAGAATAGCTCTTACAGAAATGTGAGTGAGTTCTGGAAAAGCATTCAAGCATATGAGGAGCATCAACACAAGTACCACAATGCAAAACCAAACCCTTTTGTACAGATTAACTGACTGATAGCTCAGTGTTGTTCTCCACAAGTTCATCAGTTGAGCTCTCCCATGCAAATACAAAGCAAGGATGAAGTTACAAGTTATAGCTGAGCCAAATTAACAATTCAGTGCCACTGGGAGAGGTCCCATTCCCACCAGCATGTGCTCTGGCCCTCCCTCTTCCTCCAGCCAGTACAACTCACATAGCTGGCAGAAAATGATTCACCTTTTTTTTTTTCTGGATTACCTTTCTGCTGAGTTAGCAAGTTGATTGACTCAGCCCAGGATGTGATGGGCAGCAGAGGTGGTGCAAGAGAAAAGATCGTATAAAGAGAGGTCTTCCATTTTGGCATCAGAAAAAATACAGATTGGGTCTAGCCACAATGTGCAACTTCACCATAAGATACAGTCTCCTCCTGTTAAGGCTAGATATGGGAAGTTAAAGCACCTAATTCCAGCAGAAATCACCAGAAGCTAGCACTTATTTTTCTGTATCTACTATGACGATGCCCAAATTTAGTGCAGTGAATCCTCACCTTTAGATGCCCATTCCAGAGCATTACAGAGCATCCAGTCATACCATTGAGCACAAGGACAACATGCGACCAGCCCTCCGCTGGCTGGTCTAATGTTTGTGAAGCCCTCTCACCTGAAGCACTCAAATAAATTGGGAAGGAAGAGAGGGTGAAGGTCAAAACAAAGGAGAAACGCTGTAATTTCTGAATGTTCATTTCCTCTCTTTAACCACAAAACTTCAACAAAATAAAAAAGGGTGGGGAAACTGGAAGAACACAATATGATGTCCTGGGAAAGGTTTTCCATTGCTTTTTGTTTAAATTTTGAACAGCTGCTATGTACTGTAAAAGAGATCCAGAAGAAGAAAAGCTCAAATTTGCCAACTCATAGCTGCTATGTACTGTAAAAGAGATCCAGAAGAAAAGCTCAAATTTCCCAACTCATCAACCATGGGACACAGTCCAATCCGTAAGACTCAAAAAAGGCCTTCAAGCTGTACAACCATTCCCAATGCTCCCCTATCAACACGGCTGTCCCCACCTCTACCAGGGCTGTAGATCAGTTAGAGGGCTGTAACAGTGAAGACAACCTGTGGGGGTGAAGCAGAGCTCACCTGAATCAAACTGCTCCCTGTTGCCGTTGGCCGGGCTCTGACCCTTCTCTGGGGAGAGATGCTGGGTCTCTTGCATGGTGGCGATGAAAGACGCCCTTGTCTCCATGGTTCAGAGGAAAAGGCCTTGCCTTCCTAATTCATCCTGCAGCAGGGAGTGCCTAGAGGACAAGCTAAAAGAAAAACAAAAAAACAATGAGTGATTTGTTCTACCTACACCAACCCATTCCCTCAGCCTTTCCTAATGGTTTTCAAGTTATCCCATGTTGATTGTAACCTTTCGATCCTGCTCTCTCCTCCCAAGGTGAAGCTAGAGTTGGATGAGGAACCACAACGAAGGACCTTAGCGGCAATAATATCATAACAGCAATAACAACAGAGAAGATAATGAGGTAATAAACAACACCCACAGGATTCACATCTCAAAGCTCAGTCCAGCTCCCTGTACCATCAACAGAGAGGGAAGGACCAGCCCATAAGGTGGCACAACCCATGCCAAAAAAAAAAAAACAAACACAAGGCAGGAAAGGCCAACTCAACCATCCTCCAGCATGTCCAGCCTTCGACTTCCAACTTTTTGATGGCTAACACTGCGTGAGATGTATCTCGCTCCATAAACGTTCAAACTTCCAAAGGGGGAGATCTGTGATAACGGAACAGAGGAAACACTGAAGGGAAAATACTTGGGAGAGACTGGAATAACTCTACAAAATAAAGTTCAGCATGCAAAATGCAGATACCCTAATGAAATAGTGCTGGCTGCAACTGTTTGTTGAATGAAGACTGACCTAAGGTAACTGCACCAGTTAGTACCATGCATGGTAGCAAATATTAACTCAGGTGTAGACTGGGTTATGTTGGCAGAGGAGATTCTTCTAGAAGGAATGACCACAGTAAATACAAAGTGGAATAAAAACACACAGAGATGAAAAATTATATGAGAAAGGTAATACAGACTGACTAGATCTTGAATCAGACACCAGACTATATGAGAACTATATTTCTAGCTACAGTAAGCCACCAGACAAGCAATACCCAGAGATACACCTTTAGGAGTAGATTAAAAAGAACTCCGAAGTGAGCTTTTCAGTAAAACTCTCCAAGATGGTGATGAATTATGAGGTGTCAAAGGAGGACTGAAAAAGAGAAACCAAGAGCCCGGGTTATGGGCACAGAGGGAACCGGCTATTCACACAAGATATGCTAAAGCAAAGACAGATAGTAGGGAAAGCGTGTGTCCAGAATACATGATGTGGAGGACTGGTCCTGCTTATTAGTGGATGCCTCCAAGACCTGCATGACAGAGAGGACTGTGCTGGCAGCACCGACGCCAAATGCTCTGCAAGAACTGTGACTAAAAGTAGGAAAAAAGTTTACTGCCAGAGGCCAGGCAAAGCAGGAGGTAATAAGATTGTAAAATATTATGGGATTTTTTCAACTTTTACTACTCAGGAGGCATATTCAGGAAGAGCAGATATGGTGGTTATAAAATAGAAAGAGGGACAGTGTTCTGTTGTAGATTTTCCATTCCCAGTTTTTAAGGCTGTTCCAATGAAAACTGCGAGGAAGAAATGGACATGTGTGAGCAGTTATAGGAGGAACTGAAAAAGACGAGGAGCATGTCAAGTGTGAAAGTGATATCCATTAACTGAACCATGGTGGGACTGTCTGCTGGAGCAATCGTGACAGCATCGTGGCGACTGCAACTGAACCATGCTAAAACCACGGCTGTTTCACAAAGCACCACCGGTAAAAGCAAATTACCAAGGCAGGTGATATGGCCACCAACTGAAGGTTGTTTGGGCAAAGTTAGACCCCCCCCCCATCAGCAATTTGTGCTCCCCACCCCAAAGGAATGTGCTAATGAAAGGAAAAATTATTTATAGAAAAGCAGACTGTAAACCAATTCAGAGCAATATGCTTGTTGGTCTCTTTGCAAAGTGCTTAGTATACTTCGAGCACTCCATAAATAATAATGATCACTTCCCCACTGCAATGGCCACTACAGCACTTCATCTTTATTCTTTGTAAATCTTTGAGATTTGCTAATGAATTAATTGTATTCTATACTATGAGTATTTTGAGTGCAGCTAACCTCAGAACATATCTATCACTCATCCCCAGTGTATATTAAATTTCAATTAACTATGAAACTAGAAGCAATCAGTCTACTGAAAGTCAAAAAACACTCCTCCTTTGGTAGAGGATACTTCTATAAATATCATTAATAATAAATCGGTTAAGTATCAGGATTTTACATCAAGCTTGTTAAACGTGAGAGGAGGGGAGGTGTCAGCAGAAGCTAAACCTTGGGTGGATTCAGCTGTTTTCATTTTTGCCTAGACCAGACAATGATGGAAGGTAATCTTGGTCTATTAAAAAAAATTTCAAAGAACAGAGCAAAAACAGAGAGATCAATTTAAACACAACAAATCAATCATCTTAAACAGAACTCAGGGGTAACAATATAAATACCAAGAAGGAAGATAAGCTACTTGGTAGTGTAGTTAAATCTTGCGATGCTCCTATGATGCTGATAAGACAAAGTATGAGCTGATAAAAAGCTGAAGGTGTCCAATCAGACGACGACAGTACTCACTGTTTCTTATGCAGTCAAGCCCCAAATCTGCCACCAGACCCATGAGAAAGGTCCATTCCCCTGGGTCAGGGAATTTCCCACCAGAAACGGAAAATGGATGGGAAAACCAGCAGAAACCTGTCTGGGGTGTTTGCCACACGGCTGGGATCCATCCTCGGTGGCCACATCTGGGGCTGGGCTCGAGCCCACTTCGATTAAAAGAGGGCAATGCAGAATCTCTTAGCTAGATTCAGCAGTGTCATCAACATTTTTGTTTGTTTAACTCTATTTTAACGTAGTTCTTGCTTAAAGCCATGGACAACTTATTATTTTTGAAATGTCATGTTGAGAGCATCCACATGCCCAGAAAACTGGATCTCACAGAGGCTACAGCTTATCTTCTTATTTTGGGAAAAACTACTTTACCATTTATGGTAGGAGAGTATTTAAGTATTTTCCCAACATGTGACAACAAGACCAAACTCTTATGCAAACATAAGCTTCAAGATAGCTCTGAGCCTTGGTGTTGATATAACTAACTAGCAAAGAAAGCTGACATAGGGTATTAATTTTTCACTTCTTATTAATTGCTGCTAATTAACACTTCAAACAGAGTCCCCAGCCATACTGTTAACAGTAGCATGCTGACTGGCCTGCAATCACCAACATTAAACAAGCAGCACGCACCGCTGTACTCCAATTTCTCTGTCAGTCTGAAGAAATGTGTGTCCACTGGAAACCAAATTAAGGACCGTAAGCCACACCGCCAGCCTGTAAACCAGGGGATGGGAAACAACAGCAAAAGAGGCTCAAGGTGACACTACACTAGGCAGGAACACAAAGAAAAATATTATGAAATGCATCTGAAAGAGCGGGGAGGGGGGAAATTCCCTGGTTTCAGATCCCTTGTTCATTGTTTCTGCACAGTGAGTGGTGGTTCAAACTGATCCGACTCTTCCCCCACGCAGCTCCCATTCCCCTGGCAGTTAATTCAGATCCAGACTCTTAATTCACAGGCAGAAAAAGCCAGCCAATATAAAAAAAAAAAAAAATCTCTTTTATTTCCTTCTTCCCACGGCTGTCAGTCTCAGCCGCACCGTTATCTCAAACACGCTGCCTTGCCATCTCTATCAATATTGGCTCTTTGTATAAGTGCTGGCGTTGGCTTCCTCACACCATTTTACATTTCTCATCTCCTGTCGCCTCCACCCGGTTTTTCCTCCCTTTGGAGTAAGTCCCTGTAGGGAGAGGTCCCCTACCCCCACACACACAAATCCAGCACCCTACAGCTCTCCCTCAGAGTTAGTCCTGAAAAACTTATGTTCTCCCTTCAATACATGCTTGGTTGATTGGGACTGACATAAAAAAGGCAGGCTACTGGAACAGAGGATGCAAAAAAGATCTTACCTCCTTGAAACCTCCTGCCTGGACAGTGCATCAGCTGTACCAACGTATCGCTGAGTCCTGAATGATGGAGAAGTGCAAATCCCACTGCTTTCCCAAAGATCTGGCCCCCGCCTTCAATATTCAGTAACGTTCATTGACTTGAGATGGTCCCACCTCTCAGTAAGGAGCCACTTGATGAGTACAGCAAGGCTGCAGTAAGGGCTGCCAGCATGACCCCGTGTCCTCGGTGAAGAGCCCCTACCAGGGACGTGGCCGGTGGGAGGGTGGGTCCACGGGCAGCTCCAGGGCTCACTGCATTTCCCGAGCTCAACCGTAGGTATGTTCGGATATAAGGAATCTGCATTTCTTTTTCCAGCCAAGTTGGAGGGAAGCTGACCATGGGGTGGTGACCCCAGCAGACTTCCCTGGTGAATGCATCTGCTGATTTCACCCAGTCCCTTCAAAGCCAGGCACTACCACGTGCAATTTCATGTAGCCTTTACCATCTTCGAGCCTTTTGCAGGACCATGAGTGAAAAAGCCACTGCAAAGCGATCAAGGAAACCATTTTGAAAAAAGGAGATCAGATCCACCTGCCTGAACAATTAGGAAACTGCAGCAATTGGTGCTGAGGCTCTCAGGAAGGAGGACAGGACCGTGCTGAGACCTGCCTTACACTCAACCCAATCCCAGAGCTGAAAGAGTCACTCCAGTTGTCTCCTCTTCCATCCTAGTTCCAGAACACATCATTTTTTTATGTCCCTGCTAATGTCCCCCACCTGGCCAAATGGCTTTACATCAGGTAAAATGGGGGCACCTACGCCTGAGCAGATGGAGCAAAAGCCTAGGTAGGACACAGGTGATACTGGACTAGGTCTTGACTCCACTATTGACTTCACCTTGGGGTTTTCCAGCATAGCAAATCCCCATGAAACAGCACTACAAGAAACGATGCCCACCAATCCTACCCACCTCAGGCGAGATTTGCCTCACTTAGTCAATCCTTTGCAGCTAACCGAGAGAAAGCATCTCCAAAGGACGATTTGTGTGGTCCAAGCCGGACACTCAAAATTCAGATGAGATGAACAACCCTCAGGGGGTGCCTGTGCTTGCACAGCACCTGCTAAGATTTTAGACATCCGAATT